CTGAGTCGGGCTGGACCGGGGAGGCGCCGCCGGGGCGCATCCAATACGGACGAGTTTCCAGCACCTGGAGCCGGCGGAGTCCTGTAGCGCGGCCACCCCACCACGTTCCGGGCCAGGAGGGGCTGGAGTCCGCGGGACCCTCGCTGCGACCGGCAGCGTGAATCGCCCAGTGCTGGCAGGTCACCACCCATCCCCAAGGCCGTGTCTCCAGGCCCCTGCCTGTGTCCACACCAGACATGGACGTGCCTTCTGGACACACACATTCCGGGCCACAAACGGCAACTTTAAGAAGCTGCCACCTCTCACGTGAAAGCATCCGGGAGAAGCCGTCCCTAGCTGTGTGCTCAGGTGACTGGACACGAGGCCCTGTTTCCCCTTCTGTAAAAAGTGGGGCCAGGCACAGTCCCGGGCCTGCTTTCTGTTCTCTCCCCTTGTGAGAGCTCTGGCAAAGGCAGGCGGAGACACTGACTTAAAAGAACACAGAAAGGGAGCAGCGGCTTGCTCACTGAATTCATGGCATGACGACACACGCACACACACGATGCACACGTCCCCAGGCCAGGCCCTGCCTGCGGCTCATGCACCAGCACGGGTCTGTGGACGTGTGTGAGGGCAGCCCCCACCCCAGCTCATCCCTGCTGGGTACCTGGGACTCTCCACAGCAGTTATGTCTGGCCAGTAATAAGAACTGCCTGACATGAAGTGTGCCCGTTGTGTGCTGGGAGCAAAGAACCAAGAACCGCAGTCCTAGCCTTTGTTCCCGTCATTATCAGGTAAGCGTGGAGGCAGGCTCTATCATCATCCCTAGTTTACAGACAGGAAACTGATCCCCAGGAGAGAAAGGGGTGCAGTGACCAAGTGAAGCCAGGGCTCGACCCAGGCGTCTCGCTCCACAGCCCTGAGGACAGGAGACCACACTCTTGCTTCACTATGCGCCCCTGCCACCAGCCGCGTCACTCACCAACTTGGTGGCGTCCATGGCACTGAGCACTGCGCGGTTCAGCGACTCCAGCGCGGCCAGCACAGGCCGGTAGACACCCAGGTGTTCCGAGAAGTAGTCTGTGGGCAGAGGAGGGGCTCCCGGACCCGCACCCACCCACTCCACCCGGAACTCCTCAGCAGCCAAGCAGGGCTTGATCCCAAGCTCAGCCAGCCCACCCCCTCAGGAGACCACCAGAAGCCCCCTCACCACACTACCTGCCCAGGGGTCCCAGGAGCCAGGGGTTCTCTCAGGCCTACTCACCACACAGTTTTTCTGTTTCTAAATTGCTGCAGGGGAGAGAACGCACCCTTCAGACTTTTAGACTTGGGTCCAGTCAACTTGGACTTGGAAGCCAATGTTCCCCACCCCCACTACCTCCCGCTCAGCCGATAAGGTGACCTCTGCTGTGCTCCAGACTAAACTGCTCCACAGGCAGCATCCTGGGGGCGGGGAGCAAGGGTACTACCGCCCCCCCCACCATTCTGAGGGCAAAGATGCAGACCCGCTCCTGGTCTCCAAGGGGGTCTCAAGCAGGGGAGACGGACGTGGGTGGAGGCCAGAGAGAAGTGCTCAGAGGGGGGAGGGGAAGCCAGGTCCAGGAAATCCAGGGAAGGCACAGGGTGTTTGCTTGGTAGGTCAGGGAGGGCTTCCGGGAAGAGGGCTGCCTAAGCCAGGTCTTGAGGGAAAGGAATCTGACTAGGGACTCTGGCCAGTGGACACAAGGTTTCCAGCTCCAGGCTCAGGAGCCTTGAATGCCACCCAGAGTCTGAGGTTTATCCTTAGGAGATGGGAGAAGGGAACTGGGTGGGGGAGCAGGGGTGTGCATCCATGGGAGGAAGCAGGGGAGGGCGTGTTTCTGCACCTGCATTCCCGGGTGGGAGCAGGTGGGGCACAGCTGTCCCCAGGCAGCCTCTGGTCCCTGCAGGAGGCAGGAATGGGGGGCTGAGCCATGGGTGATGACTCAGACTTGGCTATTTTGGGGTCCCAGCTGGAGGCAGTGTAGTGGGCAAGACTGAAACGGGCAGAGGGTGGGTGGGCAGATAAAGCTGGCACCAAGCCCTGGCACCTTTCTTCCCGTCCCCTCCCCCCATCCTCCAGAAAGCCCAGGCAGCAGAGGACACAGTGGGGTGGGGACCACCCGGCCTCCCACTCACAGCCCAGTGGCCCCTTGCACTCACTCAGCCGGATGCCCCTCGACGCCGCGGAACAGTTCCCGCAGCTCCCCGGGGCTGAGGACCCCGTCGGCGAAGTAATTCTGGAATTCCTCAAACGAGAGCTTTCCGTCATCTGGGGGGTGGGGAGCGGAGTGGGCGTCTGGACCCCCGACAGCACCCAGCCCCCAGGCTCTGGCCCCCACAGGTGTCCTGCAACCACCCGGCCAGGGGGCACAGGACTGAGTTCGGTGCGGGGCTGGCTATCGGAGACGAGAGGACGGGGGTCCCCAAAGGGCCCACTGGACAGCTTCCAAGGGACGGGGAAGGACCACAGGGCACCGGGGAGCGAGGGACTCGGCGAATGTCTGCCCAATGAGGAAACGAAGGAACAGGCTGGGACGTGGCCAGAGCACGGCAGGGAGAACCTGGGGGCCGGATCTGGGCCCCGGATGCTGGCCAGCCTTGCTCCAGGGTGGAGGGGCCTTCCCAGGGAGGCAGAAGAAATCCTCCCCGGGGTCAGCGCCTCGGCAAGCAGCAGCAAGCTGGCTCAGGAGGGAATGAGCTCCCCGGCACAGGGTATGTGAGCAGGGTGGAGAGCACAGGGTGGGAGAGTCACACACAGGTTTGGCGGGAGCAAAGTGAGCTCTGAGCAGATGGGTGGGGGGGAGCCAAGCCTCTGCAGTGATAGCAGGCGTCCTGATCGGCGGGTTGGGACAAACCGTCTCTGCCCCGTGAGGAGACCCAAGGAGAAGGGCGGGGCGTGGGCACAGGACTCCTTGGGGGAAAGGAGGGCAGGGCACGGAGGGTCTAGGAGGCGGAAGGACCCCGGCTGACAGAGCCCGCAGGCTGTGCCAGGACCCCGGGGACAGCAACTGCTGCCTGCTGGGTCCGAGGGCACCTGCTTGCGCTTCCGAGGTTTCCAGGGTCTGAGGCTGCCTGGGACCTGAGGCAGGAGGCACGGGTGCCCGAGCCCTGGACCCACGCCATCCCTGCCCAAGGGGTGGTTGTGTCCTCCCATGCCCCAGGGTCCTGATGTTTGGTCACAGGGCAAGTTACTGAGTCCTCTACAGATGCGAATAAAGCCTCCCAAAGGGCCCCTCAGACAGGAGCCCGGAACCAAATGTCATAAAGATGCGGGGTCAAGGCCTACCACCTAAAGGCTGTGTGACCTCAGGCAACCTGCTCGGCCTCTCTGGGCCTCAGCGCTTTTGTCTGTGAAATGGGGTGAAGAATTCCAACCTAGCAGGGAGTTGTGATGCCACCATGACGTCACGTACAGGAAAGACCTGGAAGGGCCTTGCGTGAACGGGTGTCCACCTGCAGCCTCCACTCCCCACCTCTGAGCCTGGCTCAGAACAACAGTTCCCCTGGCAAGGACCACTGACTGATTCTCCCGCTTCAGGCTCCCCCAGACTCACTCCACTCTAGACCGGGCGCCCCACACTACCAACTCACCCCGGGCCTCCTGCTGGCGCCCCACTCCGATCCCCCACTGTGAGACCCAGGGGAAGCCACACTTACCGTTCTTGTCTGCCCTGCGGAAGACCTAGAGGACAAAGGGGCACGGGTGGGGGTGGGGAGGCCGTGAGCGCAGCCCTGGGAGGCCCCAGCCAGCCAACAGGGCCCCAGCTGGCCTGCCCGCCCCCTGCCTCGCCCCTCCTCCTGCCCAGCCTGGTCCCACACCCGCTGCCCAGCTCAGCCCTGTTTCCTGCTGGGGGCGCAGGAAGAGCACACAGTGGGGGCCGCCCTGGCTCACTTCTCCTGCAGGGCCTGGGCTCGTGGGGGGTGCCCAGGCCAGCTCCCAGAGTCCAGTCAAGTTCTGCGATGTGATGCATCAGCCCCTGGCTCAGACCAGGCGGAGGGGGGCTGGGGAGACGGGCCCAGATGCAGCCCAAGGCTGCTGGGCAGCCATTCCAGACCTGAGCCCGGCTCTGCCGTGCGGCGCGCTCTATCCCCAGCTGCCCTCTCCGAGCAGCTTCCTTGCGTGCCAGCTGGGCCGACACAAAGACGGGCTGGCCCTTTCTTTGCAGGGGCCTCGTTTTCCCACTAGTGCACAGGGACACAGCCTGGGCTGAACCAACTCACGGCTGGGCTTCCCCCAGCAGGCGCGTGTGTACATGTCAGGCGCACTGGGCACTGAGGGTGGCAGAGACAGGGTCAATGGCAGAGGGGCAGGGCCGAGGCAGTTCGTGCCTCTCCAGGGCCCAGAGCGCCCAGGTCACCCAAAGCAGCCCAGCCAAGGGGAGACCAGTCGGCCTGGCAGGAAACGGCAGGCCCATGCCTGGACAGAGCCCCCCAGTGTCACCTGGCCTGACTCAGAAGGTCTGCCACACAGCAGGCCGGTGAGGGCTGGGTGGGGTGGACGGAAATTCGAGTGGGGGAGGCTCAGCCGGGAGGGAGGACACCCGCGTCACCCTGTCCTGTCCCTGCCTCCCTGCGTGGCCTGGGTCATCCCCTCAGGCCCTGGCTTTCCCACCTGGGGAGAGGGAAGGCCCGGTCCTCCCGCCGCGACTGTGGCGGTGCTGAGTCACTGGGGGCAGTGAGGAGGGGGCGGGAGTGCAGCCTCTCCCACTGCGGGCCCACGGGAGCGGGGCGTGAGAAGGCCAGGGCTGAGCACAGAGCGACTCGGGAGAGGGGCTCGGGCGGGGCTGGCACCCACCGTGTGGCAGGACCACCCGCGGCCGCGGGGAGGGACGCCCGACGGCAGGATGGCTGAGCGGCCCGCCGGCT